TCTTCATCCAACTGAAGAAATTAGAAATAATGACTTATTACCTTCTGCAGCTGAAGTAAAGAAAGGCCTCAGACACTATTTGAGGAACTACGGTAGCGAATAATTATTATCACTGATTGCATTTGAGGGCATTTTGATTTGCATCAGTGCGTGTCTGGCAGTGAAACATACTGATAATAACAGCGATATGTTTATTTGTACTGGATGTGATGGACAAGGAGTGGAAGACGCGCTTGAACACTGATTTTTCTCTAAGTGGGACCACATTCTACTAAATGAACATCATTTGGAATTTAAGCAAACAAAGGATTGAGTCCATAGACTGTTTACTGAAATAAAATATCGAGTTTGGCTCATTTTCTCAGAGACTTCTTTTTGTACCCAGAGGAGTCGCCCCCTGCTGGCCACGAGGAAGAATGCAGGCTGAAGGCTTCACTTTCTGAACCACATGTAGCTTCAAGTCACAATATTACAAAACAAGACATATTCATACTTTTTCGTTTAAAAAACTTGGTCACAAAAATAAAAAGAAAGTTGTTTTCGTTGAAGTTTCATAACTGATGCACTACAAAACAAAGTATTGCTAGAGAGTCTAATTCAAGTAAAAGTATTCGGGAGTTCCAAAATGGCTCCTAAAATATGTTCTATTTTTCAGATTCAGATTATGAATCAAAGGCATGACGAGAAATAGCAGCAAAAAAAATCCAAGCTTTTTATCTTTAATACTTCCTGAGATGTTGTTATTAAACCATAGCTTATGACCAAAAAAAAAAGTTTCAATCAATTCAGAGATGGCTGAGCAGAAAGCCCCTAAAGTTTTGAGATGGAATAAAGTCTACATTCTCCAGATATCCTGTGCTATGTCTGTCCACTGCACACCTCTGCAATAACCATACTGACTCGGTGCTGCAGTAAAATCTGTAACCGGCTGCTTTGTCCTGTTAAAAGTGCAAAGTCACAGCTTTTCAGAAACATCCACGGGAGTGTGAGGGCAACGAGACCTGCTTCAATGCGAAGAGAGCCACATGTCTGCATTCAAAGACGCAGAAACTTTGGCCTAAATGCTGTCATCTCCAACACAAGGACAGCTGTGGAGACCTTAAAGTTTTAAAACATATTCAGAGACGCGTGCAGAACCACTGTGCATGTTTCACTGCATGTGTGCGGACCTCAAATCACACAAATCAACTCGCTCACAAATAAGGATCAGCTGCAAAAAACAACAACAAAAAAACCCACAAAAGGCTGCATTCTGGTTGGAAGCTTTTTCATTGATTTATTTACTTATTTGCAGATTTTATTGCTCCTATGTTATACCTTCACTAAAAATGCTAATTTCAGTGCATCAGCGTCACAACTAATAAAACAGTCCCTTTGTTTCCCAGTTGAAGCAAACAGCAGGAGAGTTTTTAGCACCTGGAAACGCAGCATTTAAAAGACTAAAACATATTATGTAACACATCCTCCTCCTCCTCCTCATCCTCCTCCTCCCAACCACATCTGTCTG